CTTCAGGCATGTTAGCCATTGTTTTCTGGTTTTGGCAGTATGGTCCTCTTCTCAGCCTGTACTTACTGTCACACAGAAATTAAATCATTTTGTGTTCTTGATTTTTTGCAGACCCAGAGAGAAACCTGTTCAGCTCTGCACTGTATAACCTCCCTTATGCAGGAGTGTTTCTACAGGCCAATAATGTAGCTAGTGACTTGAGACATGAAAACCGAGTTTAGGATTAAACATTTTGATACTATTTTTTTCTCCAGATACCTCTTTAGCACTTTTCAAATAATTATCAGCAATTCTTACTGTATCTTATTTAAAACCTGCTGGTTTTAGATGTAATATGTAAGTACAAAAAAGAACACCTAGGCTGAATAGGAGGAGACTTTGATAGCAATGGATATTTATTACATAAAAAAAGAAGTGGATGTGGAGACTTAATACCAGTGCTGATTAACAATTTAAAGATTCTAGAGAGGATACTTAAGGACTGAGCTGTCATTTAGGTACATTTATGCATTAGGTTTTGAAAGGGTCAGTATTTGCATATTTGGACAGTTCATCCCACCTACCTTACATGCCTACTTTAAGACAGAGTGATGGACTGTCTGAAAACAGGTGTCTCTGTTGATCAGAGGGGTGACTGCTTTTGCCTTGACACGTAACTTCTAGGTGGATTGTGTTAAGCGTGTTGAATCTAGCTTTAATTGATCTGCTTTGCCTGTGCTTGACTGCAGTTAAAATTACGTAAATCATCTCATGTCAAATGTTCTTCTGTGGGGGTAGAATTTAGGAAATGTTTGTTAGGTGTGATTGCTGCAGCAATCATGGGGAGATCTTAAGGTCATTTTATTGAGTCAGATTGCTTGACTATACCTTGTCTTATTTTTCATATTAAAAACCAGTTGGCTCTGAAAATCCTAGGCACATAATGAAAACAAGCAAGTATAATCAGAAACAAGAAGAATGATAATACTCATTCTGTGTAAATCCCAGCATGGTAATGGAGTCCTTGGAGGACATGATTTTTTTCTTATTTCTTGTTTTTTAGTCGAAGAAAGGATTTTTTCATTATAGTTTACAACAGGAATAATTACTAGTTAACAGCCTGGGGAAGGGAAAGCACATCCAGCTTATATGGTGTTTATTTTGGTTCTCGAAAATACTGGCAGGTCAGCCAGCTAGTGGGAGTATTTCGTGTAGGTGTGTCAGAGGAGACAGGGAAAGTAAGTTCAGACTCAGGTTGAGACTGAGAAAGCTTTTTCAGAGGAGGTGCTGTGTCATGGAAACATGCCTCTATTGTCTTGCCTTTGAACACAGGAACAGAAGTAAAAGTGCCTTTCAAGCTTATCAGTGTTGGCCAGCTGTGCTTTGTAGGGGAAGGTACTTCAACGTGATGCTTTAACATTAGTATAACAAAGCTGTACCTTGATATAACTGTTTCTTGCTCAGTATCAAGAGAAAGCCTGCTGAGTCAAGGTCCTACATTTACCAAAATATTACACTTAGTGTATAAATATACCTGGGTTCTGGTTCAAATCAGGTTCTGAGACAAGAATGGTGCTGTTGATCTGTTCTGGTTTTTTTGGTTTTTGTTGGTTTTTTTTTTTTTTTTTAAACTTACAACCCAGCTGTCAGGACAGGTAGCAAGACCTATAATATTCCTCAGCTGATCTCAGGCCACATGTAAAAAAAAGCAATGTCTTAATCATGTGATGTTTTATTGTGTCTTTTCCAGAGTGGCAAAAGTAATGAAAGTTCCTGTGTATGAGACACCAGCAGGATGGAGATATTTTTCCAATCTTATGGACTCTGGACGTTGCTCGCTTTGTGGAGAGGAGAGCTTTGGCACTGGTAAGTAATACATAATAAAAAATTTCCACAGACTTTCAATGACAGCTTTTAATTTTCCTGGGTGCCTCAAGTCAAAGGCAAAAGAATTGGCAAACTAACTCTGTATTGTGCTGGAACAGTCAGTTGTTCACGTCTTGAGGATCTTCTTGCAACTCTGGTGTCCAGTACCTTGAGGTGTGAAAAATATGGAAGATGGACATTCAGAAGCCATAGGCAATCTTATCACTGCCGAGGCATCTTTTGGAGATGCGTGGCACTCTCTTCTGACTTGAACGTAATGCAGAAAAGTCTTACTGGTTCCACTGTATAGTCTTTTCACAGACTGCAATAGCATTTGGAGGGATTTTGCCTGCATGGAAAAAAGACATGATTTTTCCAAATGTGATTCAGTGGGCAAAGTATAAGGACTGGTATGTCTAACGGTATGTCTAATCAAACCTGTTGCAGGCATCTCTTCTTGGAACATCACAATTACCAAAACTCAGGTAAAATCATCATCAGAAGGAATTCAGTTACATGTCAGCATCTGTGTTTTCTCTAAATATTTCTTCCTCATCTCTCCCTAGGACCAGTCAAACAATAGAATGCACAATGGAAGATGAATTTGAGCCCTCATGAATACAGTACTAACAGGAAGCATTACAGCAAACAATTAAAATAAGTAGTCTGTAAATCTGTACAAAAGTGCTTTTGGTTTATGAGAAAAACTGAACAAATTTCACAGTGTTTCTTTTTTCCTTTCCTGGATTCTGGCACAGAAATCCTTTCTTCTTTTTATTTATTAGCAGGGTTATGTTACAAGTGGTTTTGGATGAGGACATATCAGAATAACTTAACCATTTGCCTGACTAATAATTTATTCTGTATTTTGATGTGAGTTCCATGGAGCTCTTTATTTTGGTGTGTAATTCAGTGGCTACAGCTTATCAGAGAAAACAAGTAAAACTTGGTTACAAATTTAATTTTGCTTTGATTGAGCTAAGTCTAGTATTAAGTTTGTTGGTTAAGGTCAATTAGAGCAGAATGCTGCTTTTTTAAAAATGAGGATGCCTTTGAGCCATAGACATGCCACTTTATGTATTAGCCTGTCATTAACTGGCTGTCTGTAAGTATCTGAACTGTGATGGAAGAACCAAAAGTGTGTTAGATTTCTTTGGGTGTCTATCTGTAAAAAGTAAGATAATTTATTTTAATAGTGAAAGCTTATTTTGTTTCTGTTGTGAATGGGAACGGATGTCCCGTGATTGGGAACCTGGATGCCTTGCCTTAGTTGCTGTGACTGGCATAGGTTTGTATTGCCTTGAATGTGTCTTTTGAATGGATATTTTCAAAGGGTGTTCTGCAAGTGCATTGAGTGCATTCTGACTTGGAGAGAGGGTCAGGAAGATCTTGTACCTTTCCGAATGTACGGCAGTTTGTTGTGGTGTGTTATTAGACTGTGTCTCTGTTTGCCCGTGAGAGGTGTGGACTGGGGAGTTTTCAACTTTCACTGCATTTTGATGCTTTTTCACCAGGCCAGTTCTATACCCCTTACCTTTAAATATCGAAGTTCCTCCTCTTCCTCCAAACCCAGATATTTCCATGAAACTTGGGCAGGTCTTGAGACATCCATGTAACCTCCTTAGCACCCAAATTATTTGGAAAAAAACTCCTGCCTTTGTCATCATGCTGAAGAAAGGGAAGTGTGGGTTTTGACTGGAAGGAACTTGTATGAGTTTGATGGTGAGTTTCCATAGACTGAAGTACATCCAAGTACCTTAGCCCACAGCACGCAGCATCTCCTGCTGCATGCAATTTTATCTGTAGAGGTATGTAAAGCAAGCAGGGGTGGCCTCTATGTGCTGTATGCCTTGACAAACCACTGCCTCAGGCCTGTTTCTGCTTGGGAAATAAGGCTCCTAGACCTTCTTCATCTGGTTATGTTGAGTATGACTCTTGCAGATGCTTTCTATCTCAGAGAGAAGGAAAGAATCTTTGGTTGCTTAGTTGAAGCCTTGTCTCCTTTGAGAACACTTGCCATGCGTGTTTTATTGTGCAGTTTTAAAGAATACAAACATCAAATTTCCCTGTCACATTGAAAAGGCACATTCAGGTCTTGCTAAGTAGGCTGTCCCAAGCATTGGTGGACTTTAGCCCTGCACATCAGTTATATAAGAATTAAGAAGAGTGGTTTCAGGGCTTGATCTACTGAAACAGTGAGATCATTGTGATCTGTATTGGCCTAGCTTTATT